AGTTACTCAAAAACTGAGCCGAACTCCCTGTACTAGAATCTTATGTCAAAATTTGTCAAAAATGATCAGGAGGGAATTCTCCATTTTTAACACACTTTTATATTATTTATACATGTATTTCTAGATGTGTTCTCTCTCATTTGAGTTCCCGTTCCAAATGCCACACATAAGCGAAGAGCCTGGAACTCTTTCGTCATTGAGAGACATTACACCACATCTCTTCTCACTCTCTCCTCACTCTAATGCCACACAAGACTTATGGGCACAGTCTGTCTGTATTCGTGGCAACAGGTAGGCTGTATCTACTATTTTAAAATACTCTTTTTTTGTGCATAGGGAGTTGTTTGGTTGTCATGACGATAAGCCACGCCCAGACTTAAAATCTGCATTGACTCGTGCAGTGTATGAATCACATCCAACAACAAACAGGTGAGAGAAAAATTAACTATTATTATTATTACTATTTATTATTATTATTACTATTTTTGTTCTATACAGTCAACTCTCTATGTATCAAACCCCATTACTGCTAGCAACTCCATTTCCACAGATATTCACTAAACAGAACACAGGAACATCAACAAGTATGAGACTGTAAAACTTGCAAGTTAAATCTTGCACCATATGAGTGGATACATGTATATCTCTGTTTATTTAATAACTACATGTACTTCTCTCTCTCTCTTTCTTAGTTTCCTCTTATACAACTCTCCAGTCTCATTCAGGTATAGAGGAATTCTTTAAAACTCTTCACAGAGAGGCCAAAAGTGTTGATATAAGGAGAGTTCCTGTTTATCATTCAACTTGTCTTGATGCTGATTCGCATCAAGAAATGTTAGTAAAATTGCAAGAAATTAAAGACTTGTATCATGTTGGATTAAATTCTAGCGATGACAGTACTGATGAGGAAAACTGATACTGAAATACAAAATTACACATACATTAATGTACATATTCATGTAGAAAAATAATCAATTTTGTGCATTCATTGTGATCATTCTGTATCTGAATAACTCTGAAATGTGATTATAAATATTTGCATTATTAAAATAAACATTATTAAAATCCAAATTTTGATTTCTTTCTCGGCTGTGATGGGGTATCTGATACAGACGTGAGAAAATATTAATTTTGTGAAGAACCAAGCAAACTAACCATTGGTTCTTGATTGTGAAGCTTTAGACTGACTACCCTCCATTCCTTCTTCTTTGATAGGATTCAAATCAGCTTTTCCCCCCTCACCCCCAGGGGTCTCATTTTCATTCTCTGGTTCCGGAGCAGTGTCCCACTTATCCCACAAGTCACATAACTCGTCATACTCTGAAACTAGAGACTTAGGATCAGTCTCATTTGAAATCCCTGCCACCTTCTGTAAATACTCTATACCAGTCGTATCAACATCAAGACTCCTGAGAGAAATAGGGAGGGGTCTTATTATATTAGAATTATGCAATTGGATCATTATTAGTATCGTTACTATTACTAATATATGGTAGTGATTACTCCTACTAAAATTATTATATGCTACTGCTAAATATTATCCCAATCAGGATTAAACTAACTCTGTCTCCTTCAGATATCTTCTCAGTACTTGTCTTTCAAGACAAAAGGAGCATCTCCAAAGAATGCTAGTCCCATTGGTTGGTGGAGGAGGGTGTGGCTCTACTCTGATTCCTTCCAATGGAAGTATAGTCGCACACTTCAAGCATAAACCCTCATCAGGTAAATCTGACAATATATCTATGCATGCATCATCAAACGAACTACAATTAAGCCCAACATTGCATGCAGAGCAGTCCATACAGAAGTATGAATGTAGTACATTTTTATATTCAACATGTTGTATGGAATAAAAATGTATAATTAAAAGATTTTAATAGTTAACTCACAATCAAATATTAGCTCAAAATCATTGGTCTTCCCTTCTTTACTGGCAAGGCCGACAGTCGTTGCCTCAACTTCCTACAAACGCCAAATAAGGCATATAACCATGCCCACAACATGGCCAAACCCACCCTCTCCATCTTCAACGCTTCTTCGACCCATAATTTGACCTCTGACGGTAAATGAGGTACGACT